GGGGGGGGGGGGGGGGCAGAAGGTGCTGGGTGTTTTGGGCCCAGAAAGGGAGTCTGCTCTTTGTTGATTTCCTTTCCTGTTTGTAATGTGGTTGTCTTGTCTTCCCCTCCAATGGATTTCGATTTCTTGTGCTTTGTCCACGAACAGGGTACCTTGAGTAAAATTTCTGTGGTATTCCAAAGAATTTAACTTCAGGGCAGCTGAGCACAGGCTCCTGGTAGAAGGACTGCCCTTTCATTTTTTGTCCTTGTGGATTTGATTGGGGTATTACATACAGCACATTCATGCAGCAACGCAGCATGATCATGCTGTACTTGGCAACTTAGCTACTACTTGAAGTTGCTTTTTATGGTACATTTTCCCACAGGGGGCGAACCCATATTCCTTCGTCTCATGGATACTTATCAATCTAATTAGTAACATTTACCTCCTGTGTTTTGTTTGAGGAAAATGAATAGGAGAAGAGAGGAGAAGAAAGGAAAATATTAGTTTTATTCCATTTTCGTCTTCTCTCTCCTCTTATTGTCTGGTTATATTACAATATGAAAAAAAATTAAAGTAAAATAAGGAAAAATTCTCTCATTCTTTTAATTAATTAAAGAAAAAAAACTATATTTTATAATTTTAATTATACTATATTATAAAATAAAAATTATTAAATAAAAAGAGATAAATTTTAATTTTTATCTAATAATTAATATAATACAATTTAAAATAATCAAAACTATACTACATTTGTTACAATAAAAAAAATTCTTTCCATTTCCTTCTCTTACCTACCCTTCCCTTACCTCAAACTAAACAACCATAAGCATTTCCCCAAGTCTTGACTGTGGGAGAAGGGATGTCCATTTCAAATCAGCAAATCTGGGGTGATTTCCCACCAAGGCAAGGGGGCGGACCCAAAGCCCATTAATGGGGGGGTCCTAACCAAGTCTACATTTTTGGAAACTGCAAGCAAATGGTTGATCTTGGTGGACCATTGAGTCCAAAGTGGTTAGCCTAGAATTAGTAAAACTCCCATTAAAAAATATTTCAAAAAAAAGAAAAAGAAAAAGGAAAAAACATCCTTTTCAAGACAATATTTATGAGATGAAGCTAAAAGAAAGTTAGTTCGCAACAAATCTCATCTCAACAACAATAACAACAAAAACCAAACTCCTTAAAATTTCCTAGTCCTTTTCATTGAACAACTACTCTTCTCTATCTCCCATTTCAAATCAAACTTCCTATAGTCCATGTTGTCG